TAAGATGCATTATTAAATTAATATAGGTAGTGTCCATGCTATGTTTGGCTGTTGTAAGGAAAGAATAGCTGTCATGAAGGGCCATGTCACTGCAAATTAGTTTCTATCCTAAGAGAGGGACACTCTCGGAGCCATACTTATGAGAGTATAGAAGTTCCAGCTGACATGCAATTTTCTCCTATTTTTATCTGCAGGCTCCCTTCATTTTCCCTCATGCTGTGCCTGTATCTAACAGCAAAATGGAAAGTTAGTACAGTGATGATGGAAGAAAACAAAAAGAAAACCTTGAAATGGGGACAATTGTTTTCCTGTTTATACAACAGATAATTTAAGTAACTTGCTAAAAGTCACATGGCTGATTTAAGTCTCAGATGACAATTTTGATTTCATGGAAACAATCTGAAATGTACTTTGTATTCAAACCTACTTTTGATTTTCTTAACTGAGAAAGAGATTCATAGGTTTTAGTATTAACTGAAATTAATCTTCAGAAAAATTTTCACAAAAGTCCAAATCTTCTCGTTTCTGCCATGTGAATTTTTTTACATATTGTTTTAATGTATTAATCCAAAGGTATCAATAACTTGTGACTTTTTTATTGCAGTTTTTATTTATTTATTTTTTGAAATATGGTCTTGCTTGTAATTCAACCTTGCCTTGACATCACTGTGTAGACCAACATGTCCTCAAATTTGTAGTGTTTCTCCTGTTCAGTCTCCTGAGTGCAGGAATTGCACTCAAGTGCCATCGGGCCCAGCGAAGAAATCATGATGTTTTTATTTGTTCCAGAGCAGAGACTTTCCTGGTAAAAAAAAATATTCATAGAGGAAGAAGATTAAATGTTCTTCTTGAAATTTCTAAAGATGTTTAAGAATTTTGCTAAGTTAGGTTTTTGAAATATTTGTATCGATCTGTTTAAGAAGTAGTTTTTGCCTTTTTAAATAAAAATTATTTAAAGAAAGAAAACAAACAAAACAGTAAAAGGGTACAAGTAATGCAGGGTTTCAAAAAAAGTAAACAGTAAGAAATCACTAGTTAATAGATTACATATTGTCATCTTAGAAATAGTTGTTCAAGTTTACAAAATTAAAGCATACAAAGTGGACGTTAAAACAGTGAGACTGCAAACTGTTGGCTTCAATGATCCAACAAAAACTTATATGGTCATCTATCTTTCACACCTAAACACACTTGCAGTTGTATCCTTTAGAGCACTTTCTTTTCCTCTCTTTTTTACAATAACAATTAGACATTTTGGGTTTCATTTCTCCCACAGTTATTACATTTTTTTGGAAGAAAATAAAACCAAATGTGGCAAAACAAAGCAGAGTCAGTCAAAACAAAGGATGAGCATAGTACATGATGTAAAAACAGAATACAAGAGTAATTTTTGTCTTTGCAGAAGTAAGTACTGATGGAATTTTTCCTGCGTGCAGTCTAAGGCTATGAACTGAGAATGTATATTTCTGTATGGACCTGGGAAAAATGAGTGCACAATCTATTTGCTGGAAGTGTAGCCCACAAAGATTACACATAGGACATCTTAGCAGTCCACCAAAACCTCTGTGGCATCCTCTCACAAACATGCAATTTCTATTCTTCAGCCCAGAGTCAAATAAGAAATAGCTTTCTATCCATCCCAAAGAACACCGAAACCCTATGAGAAACATGCAAGTATTGTTTGGCATTGCATTTGATAAAGGAAACTATATAGCTTACTTTTTTAAGGGAAAAGATTTATTTAGCTTTAGTTTGTAGAGATACCAGTCCATTTCGCTGGCTCCAAGAAAGGATGGCATTGCGGACAATGATTGCAGAGGAAAAACAGTTCATGGTGGGCAGAAGGTAGCAAAGTAAGCAAGGAGAAAACCACAGCTCGTTCTACCACTTATGGAGTACTTAAGGGAAAGTAGTACTCATACCCTAATCCTAGTGTCCTTAATCCTAGCTTTGTGCCATGAATCCATCCTAGTATCACACACTGTGTATCTAGCCATCCCTGAAAAAGTCCACCTATTAACACATAAGGCTTTGGAGGCACATCTCGGCACAACCATAACGAGTAGTTATGAGGGCTCAAAAAGAAAGCAAGAGAGCCATAGAGAAAGGCTCAATTTTCTTAGAGAACACCTCATGTCTTAGACACTTTCCCACACTGCTGGTACAAAACATCTGATACCTACAAACTAAAGGAGGAGAGATTTATTTTAGCTCACAATTTGGGAGGAATATGCCCTTCCATGTCACACCCCCAGTGGCCACCTCTCCAGCTAGATTCTACCTCCCATCATGTAAGTTATGAACTCATCAGTGAATTAACTGTTCAGTATAGCACCCTCATGATCCAATGACCTTTCAAAAGTCCCATCTCTGAATGCATAAAGCTTTTGGGGGACATTTTAGATCCAAACCATAATACTACAGTAATTCTGAATAGAAGATTTCTAGGAACATGAATGGGAAAACCCCTCTGATGAACTCTCATGTAACAATGCAGATTATGTTATTGGAAAGTGATTTTGTTATAAGTGACAAAGAACTTGGCTGAATCATGTTTGTGTGTTAGAGTTTTATGGAGGGTAGAAATTACAAGTAATGGAACTGAATATTCAGCTTAAGCTATTCCTAAGCAAAGTATAACCTGATGTTTTTCCTACTCCTAGCAACTTTTTTAAGATGCATTTTTTTTTCTTTAGACCATGTTTGCAATCCATAATGATTGCATTCCTCATGGGAGTTGGTACATGTATATAACATATCTGATTTCTTCTTTCATCCCCTTCCCTTCTCCTTCTTGTTTTGTTCTCCATCCCTTCATTTCTTGACCTTCTTCCTTTTTTCAAAAGATCCTCCTATTTCTTTTTCTATATTTTATTGTACTCTTTATTTATACCTTGGTTTTCTCATGTGAAAAAATCATGCAATATTTAAGCTTGTTGGTCAGATTTATTTCACTTAAAATTATGGTTTCAAGGTGCATGCATTTCCCTACAAGCTTATGCTTCTTTATGGTAGAATACACTTCACTATGTAGAAATTCAGCAATTTCTTTATCCATTCATAGGTTGATGGCCAGAAAGGACACTTCCAAGATTTAGACCTTATAAATTGTGCTGCTGTCAACATGGATATTCGTGCTTCACTGTAAAATGATGCCTTTAACTCTTTCAAGAAGATATCTAGAAGGAACAAAGCTAGGTTGAATGGAACTTTCATCTTCTTGAGTCACTTATGTACTCGTTTTCATAATGTTTGTACTAGTTTGTATTTCTACCGACAATGTAGAGGGGTTCCTTTATCCCCCACAGCCTCTCCAGCCTCTTTCATTTCCTAATGATAGCCTTTCTTTCTGGAGAAAGATGAAATCTCCAAGTTGTTTTAATTTTCATTTTTCTAATGGCCAGAGACATTGAATAATTTTAAAGTATTCCTTAACTATTTGTACTTCTGAGAAGTGTCTATTCATTTTGGGTGATCACTTTGGATTGGATCTTTTATTTTGCAATCTATTTTTTATTTCTTTATATGTTATAGATATTATTCCTGTCTGAAGAATAGCTGAAAGAATGTTTCCCATTGTATAAGTTGTGACTTCACTCCGTTTTCATTGTTGTGCAGAAGCTTTTTGCTTGATATGATCTCATTTGTTGATTTTTTGATGTTATTTCTTGTGCAATTGGAGTTGCATGCAGAAAGTCTTTGCCTATAACTGTAGTACAAGAGTTTTACCTATTTCAGTTTTCAACAGATTAAATGTTTCTGCTTTAATATTTAGATCTTGGATCCATTTATATTTCAGCACATAGTGATAGATATTCAATTTTCTGCATGTGAATATCCAATTTTCCTAGTACCATTTGTTAAAAAGGCTGTCTAGCCTCCAGCGTATGTTTTGGCCCTTTTACCAAAGATCAGATTGTTGAATATGCATAGGGTGTTTCTGCATCCATTATCCTGTTCTGTTGATCCACATTTCTGTTTATGTGTGAGTACCATGCAAGTTTAATCACTGTGGCCTTATAATACAATTTAGAGTCAAGGATAGCTTCCTGCTTTGTCCTTCTCTAATATTGCTTTTGTTATTCTGAATCTCTTGCAATTTTATGATTGTTTTCTCTAGTGCTGTGAGGGAAGCTATTAGTATTTGCATCTGGATTGTATTAAGTCTGCATATCAGTTTTGGAAACACAGCCCTTTTGACAATACTGGTTTAGTCTATCCAGGGACAGGAACTATCTTTCCATTTTCTGATGCCCTCAATTTCCTTTTCTGAACATTGCAATTTTCATTGTGGATGTTTTTCACTCCCTTAAATTAATTCCTAAGTATTTAATTTTTCTTGATGCTATTGTGAATGTTATTATTTTACAAAATTCTTTCTTGGTGACTTCATTATTAGTGTAACTATAGGAGCACTATTAATATTTCATATTGTTTTTTTATCTTGCTACATGGCTGAATTTGATATTAATTATAGAAGTCTTATGGTGGAATTTGTTAGATTTTCTATGTGCTGGATCATGTCATCTGCAAATAATGATAATTTGTTTTATTCTTTTCCTATACATTCTTTTTTCTCTCTTATCTAATTGCTCTGGCTAGTGGTTTGAATATGATGTTGGCGAGTGTGGTGATAGTGGACATCCATGTCTTTTTACTGATTTTAGAGAGAAAGCTTTCAGTTTTTACCCACTATGATACTAGCAATAGGTTTTTCTCAGATTGAGCTAAGTTCTTTTTAGCATTATACTCTTAAGGGCTTTTATGATGAAAGATGCTGGATTTTGTTAAAAATTTTTTTCTATGGCTACTGAAAAAATTTTATGATTTTTGTCTTTGCTTCTATTCATACTATGTATTACATTCATTGATTTGCATATATTGAAGTATCTTCGCATATCTGGGACAATGCCTACTTGATAATGATGTGTGATCCTTTTCATGATTTGTTGTGTTTTGTTTGCCTGTATCTTTTGAGGATTTTCACATCTATGTTCATTAAAAATGGGGAATGCCTCATGAATTTGGATACCTTCCTTGATTAGAGGTCATGGTAATCTTCTCTATATTGTTCCAATTTTAGTATATATACTGCCAAAATGGGCATTGGTATTCAGCAAATTTTGCTTTTTTGTAATCAAAAGAAATAAGCCAGTCATGGTGGTCAATATCTGTAATTTCAGCACTCTGGGAAGCTAAAGCAAGTGGATTGTAAGTTTAAGTCCAGGCTGAACAAGTTAGTGATTTAGTGAGACCTTTTCTCAAAAATTAAAAAAAGAATGTTAAAAAGAGGGCTGGGGATATAGTTCAGTATAAAGGTCCTGGATTTAATCTTCAATACTACATTTAAGAAAAAGAAAAAAGAAAGGATGGTCTTGCCAAACACATATTTTCAAGTATCTCCTAGAAGCTTCCTATCTAGAAAGATGAGTTTAACTTTCATCTTTCTTATTTTTTTCTTAACAGTAAGATTTTGATCTAAAAGCAAAAGCCTAAAGATAAAACTGGACAGAGAAATGAAAAATCTTTTTTTTTTTTTTTTGCACTCTTAAGTATTTGTTTTTTTCACTTGTATATTACAAAAAGGACTTGCATACTGTGGTCTGGATTTAATTGTTAAAAAGACATTTTGAGAAAATGAAAAAGATAATAAAGGGTTGAAGCCTAAATTATTGATAGTTTCCTTTCTTTTCCTTTTTATTTTTTGCAATACTAGGAATTGAATCCAAAGAATATAGAACTTTCACACTAAGTTAAGACCCCAGCTTTTTATATTTAACCTTTTTATTTTTAAAAGCTAGAATTGCACCTTCACACATGGCTGGCTATGTCCTGTTCTTACTGATATTTCCTCATACTTTTCTATTGCTTTTTATTTATGAAAGTTCTTTTAAGTATAGTTAACATGATGTCGGTCCTCAGTCACAATAAATTGCATGTACAAACATAATTATAAGTATGGATTTTGTGGGAGGGAAGCTTGCAGTATTAAATATTTAGTGCAAGAGAGAAATTGATTTGAAAAGTAGGGTTGATTTAAATGTATGCGTTAAAGTATATTAACACATACATGTAACATGTAAACACCCTCTTTTTCAGTTAGTAGGGAACTAATAGATATTATTTCTTCTCAGTAAGATATGATATCCCATAGTGTTTGTGAGTTTAGGCTGTGGAATTAGGCATATCTGGATCAAAACCTAGGCTTTACAACTGAGTTCAGCAAGCTTGTTTGAGCTTTGATTTCCTCATCTGCAAAAAGGGATGATAGTGGTTTATACTTTTCAGGGTGGCCTTGCAGATGCAATAGAATAATGTTCTGTGTGTAAGGCTTGTAGTCCAAAGTAAGGGAGAAGTAAATGTCAGCCAATCCGGTGATGTTCTTATCACTATAATATTATTGTCAATCACTGTCTGGTAGTCGAAGAGCAACCAGATGGTTGAAGGGTCGAGTATAAATAAAAATATTTGAAACACACAAATACTCTTTGTTGAATATTTTTAAATGATTCATTGAGTAAGTCAGTATATACAGCCAGAGTTAGTAGTTACTCACCTTACACTGTAGCCAGTTGACAGTAGTTTTATAACCAACTCTTGTGTAGCTCTTCTATTTCATAACCCCTTTGTTTTTCTCACACATTTTTGAGGACTGAGACCCACTCTGTACCCAGCTTGCAGCCAATTATTATTGAATTTCCCTACAGACTCAAGTTCACCTACCCTTTCTCCTTCGCTTCTCCTCCCCTGCTGTACCCCCACTCCTGTGCTTACACAGTTGTCCCTGCAAAAGAAAATGTGTTTCGTTGCTCTTGATCAAGTCACATGGTTTTCTGAGAAACTACATTTTCTTTTGCTTTGTTCCTGGTGGGAAGTACTATTTTTATTCCCCCAGGAAGTCCTGTAATTGAGACAGGAAAATATGTTGCCTGGCCAAATGCCACGGGAAAGACAGTCTCCAATCTGTACAAAAACTGAATGCTCCCTTCAGAAGTGGCTATTGTTCACACTGAAGCACTAGTGGACCTCCCTGCAGCTCCCTCCTTCCAAGTTCTCACATCAGGGATGGAATTAGCCCAGTGAGATATTTCTTCCCCTTCCCATTGTATAGCAGAGGTGGTATTTGGCAACAGTACATTAAGTATCAAAAGATTGTTGTTTTTCCTTCTTTGGCATCAATTAGCTCTCTATTTCCTCTTTTAATTTTCCATTGTGATTACCCAAAACAGTACAAGATCTGAGATTTCCTAATTTACACCCAGTATTTCTCTACACAGGCATTCTGCAGTATGCAACATACAAAAGTCAATCCCCTTCCTCATATTTTAAACCAGTGAAACTCAGGCAATAAAATTGAGACATTTTATTTATTCAAGTCATGCTTAGTTGTAGGCAATGCTGGGAATTCCAGGGCACCAGTTGGGACTAGGAGGAGGTAAGAAAGGTCACCACCTAGAAAAGGCAAGCTAAGAAGCTACATGTGGTTTCTCTTTTCTCAGCCAGGAGAGGAACACCATGTTTAGAGGGACAAAATAAAAATCATCTATGCACCTTATTTTTTAAAGTAACTTTGTATCATTCTAATTTACAACTACCTCTTAATTTACTCCAGCACTTTAATTGATGGACATTTATATAAGAAAGTTCTGAAAGATATTGGTTTCATGATTCTTTGCTCAGTGAGCAGTTTCCTATTCTATGTGTAATGCCATTCAGTGGTTCAGTGATAGAGTATGTATAGATGTGCTTCTTTGATAACTTATTCCAGTCTCTCAGTTATCTTCTCCCAGTAGCAAACATTCTCTAAGATCATATCATCAACATTTCCTTCAAAGTACAAAATATCATGTTCTTAAGTTAAAGACAATTATTTGTTCATTAATAGATGCAGTCATGAGATAAGGTATTTTCAGGTTATGCAATTTATCTTGCCCAAGTAAAGCTCCATACATGTGTTTTTTTTTTCTATTTTTTCCCTAACACTGGAACCTAATATGAGTGTCTTAATTTTTCATGAATTATGTAGCCATTACTTCTTTGTGATCTATGTTCCTTATAACTTCAACAATGCTCTTTTCAATATTTAATTTGAAACCAATTTTTTCTTCAGTTTTCATTTGGTCTTTCATAGATCTCTCCCTTTGTCTCTCTGTCTCTGTCTCCTGCATCTTTCACCTCCCTAACTTGCATTTCTTTTTTAATGTGTTACATTGGCTCTCTTTTTGAGGAATATACCAACCTTGTGTGCAAAACTAAATCTGTAACTCAGAGCAAATGATACTGTATATATCCCAAAGATTGTGAAAAAGAAAAGTAGTGATTATAAACTATGACATACATATTAAGGTTCTAGGGGAGCTGAGATTTGACATGAAAAAGGCTTATTGAGTACTCTTGGGATTGGCGTTTGTGAAAGAGATAGGAAAGACTGGAGACGAGAAGGGTAACTGTGCTGTGCACCCAGCAATAATGTAAGCTAACGCCACAAGTGTCTCAGGAGCTAGAGTAGCCCTTCAGAGCTACCCCAGATTGGGTCAAAATGGTGAGGTCTTTTTCTTGCCCCACATTCAGGCATTAGATTTGGAATATTTCTGGAAGTAAAGTTGTTCTCTGCTACACCTTCCTTGAAGGGTCCTATGCCTGCAAGCTCTCAGCACCAGCAGCATTGCCAACAGCTAAGACAGGCCCTGCACTGAAGGGGAACTTGGATGGTGATTCAGTGTGACCACCACAGTCCGATTAAATCGGGAAACTGAAGACCCCAGTCTAGTTCCTTTTGATTTCATAAATTCAGAGTGAAGAAGACAATTCTGTGTGCCGCAGAATTCCATCATCTCTCTGCCATCCGATCTGTGTTGAAGACAGTGTCTTTAAAGGTATGGAGGTATTTTTTCTTCTTCTTAATTTCCCTCTCATGTTTTCATAAAGCTCTTGCTTGCTTCTGCTTTTGCCAGCCTGGGCATAGACCTTTAACATGCCCTCCTCATTTTCTCTTTCCTGCTGTGTCGGTGAGGGCATTGTCTGCATTGCAATGCTCTAAAAATGGTCTCTTTCTCTTTTCTTCTGCTTCTGATGGGCTAACGTGCTTCCAAACAGTAGTTTGTTTAATAAAATTTGAACTACTGTCTGTTGCACGCTGCTGCTAAGCATATAATTCCTGTGCCTTTTCTTTGAAAAAGCTACCGTTGGAGCAAGCTCCCCACTTTCTTTCATCCCACAGATCATTTCCATGCAGCCCACTCGATATTGCCTGGCAGCACAAGGGACAAGAATAGCAAGGAGAACTGAAACCCACGGAAGAGCGGCAGCCTCCTCCTGCCTTGTGTACTTGTAAGCTGAGCTGCTAACAAGTGGCAGAATTGATTCATTTGAATTCCATCTCCTTTCATTTCCTCTGTTTTCCCTTTGGTGTTGGTCATAATGAGCATCGGAAAATGACCCAGAACAGAGGAGGCAGATGGAAAAAGAAGAATGGGGTTGAGATAATCCACAGTTCAAATAGTCAGAATTAGCATTCACCCCCTGCCTCCCACAGTCCCTTTCATCTCACTGTGGCCACTGCACAAAGCTACCAAGGAAGTATTCATTTCACAGGTAGCCACTGCGATGGTTTTTTGCTTTGTTTTGTTTCTCAGAACTTTTTCTTGCCTTGGTACTGTCTCATTAAAGTGTCCATCTCACTGCTCTCAGAAACAGTTCAAGCTTTCCTGGCATACTTGGGAGGACATAACACAGAAGCTTCTAAGTGAAGAATATTTAAAAATAAAACTATGCCCATAGTTCTTGCCAGCCTTTGTGGTATCTGCTCTTTTCTCCTCCATTAAAGAAGAATGGTCTCTTCTGAGTGGAACAGGTGCACATTTTAAATAAAGGACCACAGAAATAATAACAGTGATTCTTTGTGTCAGGGAAAAAAGTTCAACCTAGGCAGGAACTAATCACCAGCACCAGTGAGAATGACTGTCGCCATCATCCTCCCATAATCACTGCCTGGGAGATCCACTCCCAGTCCTGGCTGCAGGCCAGAAAATATGGTTTCTGCTATAAATCACTATCGGTCCATTGTGAACAGATCTGTTCCCATTCACAAACAGAAAAGGATTTACTTCTTGGAAAGTGGAAAAATCAACTCTTCAGGTAACCAAGACCTCAGTGTCCTCATCATAGAATGAGTACCACCTATTTCTGTAGCTGAGAGACCTCAGTATCTGCAGCTTTGAAACGTTCACTGGAGCTCCAGAGAGTTGCCGCAGCAGCTGAGCACAGGAGCCCTGGAAGCCTCTCAGATGTTTCAGGTCTCTGAGGGTTTTAATGATGTCTTTCCTCCTAAACCTCAGACAAAGGAGAGAAGGGTAAAGGGAAATGCTGGTACCATTAAGGTAAAATTTTCACTTAGTATAGATTCAGTGTCCCCTTTCCTCCATCATAAATATTTGAAGTTCACATTTCAACTATTTGCTTCCAAAATCTATAGACTGTGCCACTGTCATAGGCTTGGTACTAATCCATCCAGAACACTAGGACTAGTCCTGAGATGCTAACCAATGATAACTAAGCCCTCAGAGAACTCACCCTCTTGGTGATGAGGGCTATCTCTGGATGGATTCTGAGTGAGAGTGTCATCTTTGTGACTTAGCTAGGCATCAGCTTTAATAAATTGGATATTTCATTCCCATTTCCCCAATGAGAGAATCGTTTTGGGTTTATTTAGAAATTAATTGAACAAGTAACACCTTACCATTCATGGCTCTTTTTCCTCCTATCTCGTTTTCTATTTCCATGTGAACTGTATAGAGATTTGTGCTAGCAATTTACACTGCTAAGGGTAGGAGTTCAGCCCTTACCTCATCGGACTTTTGGGTTCTTGAGAAGCTCCAGCAGCTTTATCAGCTCCACCAGTCACTCAGCTTTCCGCTGAGCTCAATGTTCTGGGCAGGTATTGTGTCGTCAGCCCCCAGGCAGCTCTGGAAATGCCCACAGCTGTGACATTCAGGTGGTACACAGGCTCAACCACACATGGGTGTTTGCTCTGTTATGTACATTGCTCCCATCTGTGACTTCAGTAATTGCTGAATTGGAAACAGAGAAAGAGTAAGAGATGCTCAGGTGGGCTCTGCTTCTGCTCAGACTGAGTGTTGCTAAATCAGGGAATCAAGGGTACCATGCCAGCCACTTTGCCTTCCTGTCTCATAAACTGTGAGTCTGTGTAAAGCAACAAGGCTCATGGAAGGTAGAAATAACAGGTTGTACATGATTAAATACATTTGCACTGATTGTGTGAAAATTGGATTAATACAGTAGCTATGTATCACAATTCCTGAAACTATCCCACAGACAATGAAACTTGTGAGTTCATACTAATATGATGATGCTCTGCTTTGTAAAATCTGTGAAAGCATTTAGAGGAGACAAGGTGGGGATTCATTTTATATTGTTCTAGAAATAGCTTTCCCTTTTCAGCTTGATTTTCTTGGTTTCTCTGGACTGATTCTTCTCATTTTTACTTATCTTACCTGCCAGTTTGTTTGCTGAGACAGAGAAAATGCTAGGCTGGGGAATTAAATTCAGGTTTATTTAAACTGGCAGGCATGTCTGAACCAGGACATAAGGGAAGTCTTACTGTGTCGTGAAGACAATTAAATGTGCTTGGAAAGTTTTATTTGGTTTGTTGTTGACAAAAGTTAAGTCCCTGGGTAACTTAATTTTTCCGGCTGATTCCCAAAGGAAAAAAATCAAGCTAACTCACAGCAACATATTTACTTGTGGAAATTTGATGAACTGTGCAGTATGGAAAAGATAGCCATAATCTCAGTTCTGATTTCTCTTTTTCTTCTTCAGTTTCTTTCCTGTGAAAGGAACATTTCTTTTTTTTTTTTAAATTTTATTTAAAAGGAAAAAGAGAAAAAACAAAGTGGTGTAAGGGTACAAGTAATACAAAACTATAAAAAAAATTAAGAAATCACCATTTAATTACACATTTATCATCTTAGAGATAGTTGCTCAAACCACAGTATCAAAGCATAAAAAGTGGACATTCAAACAGTGAGACTGCAAACAGTTGTGGAAAGGAACATTTCTTTTGATCAGGAAAAAACCCTATGTCTAACTGAGGAGGTAAAGGGCTCAGGAGGAGCTCAGAGAGGCTGAGTATTTCTAGAGAGGCTTCAAGCCATTTATCTAAAATGTACTTCACCCTTGATCTGCTGGCAAAATTTGATAAACAGGAGTCAGCCAGTCTGATGATCCCACTGAAGAACTAAATTTCCATCAATAATATTCAGACAAATTATTTGTATGACTTTGTGTTAGCTGGTTGGTTTTATGTTTTGTCCTCTGCTTTAAGGAAGACTTTAGTTTCTTTGACAAAAAATATATATCACAGGAAAAAATAAGCAAGGAAAACTATGACTTTACATAATCTCCCATCCAATCCTTAAGAAAATAAAATTTTAAAAATTACACAGAGACAAGTACATCGGCACATGCCTGTAATCCCAGCTCTCTGGAAGACTGAGGCAGGAGGACTTCAAGTCTGAGCACAACCTGTATAACTTCACAAGATCTGTCTCAAAATAAAAAATAAGGGACCAGGTATGTGTTGTACATTTAGGATACTTAACAGAATGAAAATTGAGAACATGGAATCAAGGGAAAATTATATGAAGGTAAGAGATTATTTATACACCACTTAGCTTCTGCTAACATGGTGGAGGATAACTATTACACTTTGATGGTTTATAGTTCTTTAAAGAAAAATTATAGAACTTAAAAGAATTGCTTTTGTTATAAGGTGATTCTTGACCGCATAGACTTCCATTTTGTACACTGTCTGTGTAATCTGTTTAACTTCAGACACTTTACCTACGTCGTTGATTCTATTACTAGATTTTTGAATTTCTGATTAGGGAAAAACATTGAATGGGTGGATAATCTAAGTGTACTTTATTTCTCTATTCACCTCTAAAATGAAATCAAGATCCAGGTCTGAGTCATTCCATAGTCTCAGTGTGAGCAACTTAGTGAGAATTCAGGTGAGGTCCAAAAAAGGCTTATTGGGGAGTAAAGGGCCAAAATAAACTTCTTAGGGTTCTACTCTCCAGGTCTGATTATGAAAAATAGGCTCTATAGACTGAACATTGGAAAAGAACTTCATACTATCCAGATGCAGGCAACAACTCCTAACTTAATAAAATATTATTTGTTTCAGTGTTATATGATAAGAATTGACATACATGGCATTTAAATTCATTGTTGAATCTCCAGAACCTTTGCTTCTTTTGTAGACAACTCTCAGCTGAAGAGCTGAGAAAGCTGGAGAGAATCAGCAAACCACATACACTACATACTTAGAGCTACCACACAGGCTCTGTTTGCAAAAATGTGTTTAAAACCGAAATCCTGCAATAGGAGAAATAGGTCACATTTATTATACTCTGGTGCAAGCTCTGCCTGAAGTACTTTATCTAAATAATTTCTTTTAATCATTGCTACAAATAGAAAAAAGAAAGGCCTGCTTTTATGTGCATTTTATAGATGGAGAAACCAAGGCAAAACAAATTTATTAAATGAAGTGGGGTTTAGACTCAATATTTTTCCTGAGCTTCTGATTGCTGAGCTACATTGATACAGAATTAATTCTACACCAGAAAGTGTGCTAGACACCAGGGATAGGTGAGCAAACAATATTTAAATTTGTTATTCTGATTTGACCTTAGGATTGCACAAATGTCTTTCATCTGTGTATCATTTTTTTTTCTGAACTACTTGGAGGTTACCATAACAACTTGGAGCATTATTAACTGTGAAGGTCAGCAAAGAGAATTAAATAATTTGGTCTCTAATGACAATGGAATGACTGATGCCCTTCAGCATTTAGAAATTACAACATTTTTTAAGGAGGTCTTTATTATATTTTTATTAGGAAACATCTTTTGTGATGAGTTGTTAGTCTGTATCTGTTAAATATCAATCAAGCCTGTGACATGATAGTCTGTATCTGTTAAATATCAATCAAGCCTGTGACATGAAACATAAATATATTAATGGCATTCATCATTAAAGTAGTTATGTGCATTAATTAACTTTAGACACAAAGTAAATCTCCTCAGTATAGTGGCATTTATTATTCACAAAATGATGAGTAGCATGATGATTTTTTAAAGTCTTGACTGGGGGCATTCTTCAGTATATCGTCAGCCGCAGGTTGGGTAGCTGGTGCTAATGACCCCAGGCTAAGCTTTTTATACATTTGCGGTATGACTGGCTCTGTGCTGGAAACACTGGGTTTTCCTTTACATGCTCGCTCATCATCTAGCAGCCTAGCTGGGGCTTGTTCATTTGAGATGGACAGTGTTCCTTTTGGATCAGAACTAGCATAGTGTCATTTCTGTCAAAGAGAGTCTGATCAAAGCAAAATCTGAAGACAACCTAAATTCAAGGAGGCTAAAAATAGACTCTGCTTTCTGATGAGAGGAGGGTAAGGTCACATTACAATAGAACACAGATGGTTCAGGTTGAGGAATAAGGGAAGCCACTTTTGGAAACTGTCAAACCACATAGAACATATTATCATAATCATTTTGCAGATATGAACATGGAGGTCCAGTGTTAAGTAACATGCCCTTAAAAATCATGAAATTATTAAGTAGCAAATTCCTTGAAGTAACTAGTAAAGTGTTGAATATGAGGATTAGGAATACTTAAATATGTCACATTTGAAAGCCTCTTTCTAAAAACACCACTTTATAAGCTTTTCAAGACTTTTATTAGCTATATAATTAAATGTTATTTTCCCAAATGAAAATAGGGACTGAAAATAGTGAAATTTCAAGGTATAAAAATCTAATATAATAATTCACTCATTTGCAGTTATAGGCAAGAATACTTTTAATAATAATTAATAACAAATTAATATTTAGTTACATAAAAGTGACCTTTATTGTTTTTCATGTGTGCAGTTATTGATCAGTGTTCTTCTATGGTAATATTACATAACTGATAATAATCAAATGCAGACAGAATTCTCATTTGCAAAACTTAACACCTTGTATTCCCACAGTACATTTGTTATACGAGAGCGTTTAACTAGTAGTACCTGCAGTACGGATAGTGTCAGATACTGTTCAGTAGATGTGAATTTAGCACATGCCTCCTTCTATGGATTATTAGACTCTAAAATTAATGAACCATGGAGGCACCTACAATAGAGCCTCCAGATATTAACACATTGTGGACAAATTTATGGCAGATTCTTGAAAAGCTTATGTCCATTGGTTCCCAATGATGCTTTTTTTCAGGTTTATATGCCTTTAGGATATTCATTTGGCAGAATTTTTAAGCACCCAGTATTCTATAGAACCCTTGGAAAATTCAAAAATGGTTCTGATCTTTTTGCAGTTTTATTCAGAGTCAACAATATTTGTCAGACATCTACTATAAGACAGACATTAAACAAAAATATACCTGAAATACGTGAAATAGGTATTAGTCTCATTTACCATTGAGAAAACTGATTCAGAAGAGGTAATTGACTTAACCTAAAATTCCCCAGCTAGCATCAGAACTAAAGCAGAACCGGATTTTATCTGGCATCAGGGCTTTAACATCACCTATACACTATGCTAAGACTCAAATCTTTAAATGATTGCCCAGCAGGCTCACTGGTAAGGAGTGACACAATGTTGTATCTTTTGTAACTCCTGAGGTTAGGTTATCAGTCTATGCCTACTAGTCAATCTCTTCATTTATTACCTAGTTGTTATTATGATCATACTCATGGCAAGAAATTGCAACAGTTGGGAACAGTGTAAGATAAAAATTAAAACTTCTCAGTAAAATCAGCCTTCAGGTTCTTAGAGGTAAGACAATGATTTTTTTTATTGTTCTTCCTATTTTTTATAGCTTTTGCCACTGTGTGTTTAAGAGAATCTTCCTGTTTTACGTAAATAAGATCAAACGTACCAATTTTTTCCTCAGTAGTGTATATTTGACATTTGAAAATCCAGATTTACATATTGTTTTGTTCTTTTTATTTATATACCATGTTTATTTGGTTGATATATTTGTGATGAATGTTGAGAGTAATTGTTTCTTTTTTTACTTTATTAATATCTCTTTTTACTTTTTTACTGTAACAAACAGTAACTCAAAAAAGAAAAACATATCAACTTCTTTACAGAGCTATATTTTTCATGGAAAACACATAAAGGCATCATTTTTTCCCAGTTACTCTTGGGAAGACTAGTGAGCGCCTATCTAGAAGATGATAGAGGATCTGTACATGAACTCATTTTTAATATAAATTTTTTCCAAAAGGTAGGACACTGCTCTGCTGGCCTTCTCTGTTCTATCCAGAGGTGCTCACCGGATGCTATGATGACTAAGGTCTACAAAGTCTTTGAACAAGATGGAGTAATTCATCCTCTTCAAACTACCACCTTGCCCATGGCACAGCCCAGCTTTACCCAATTTACTTTGGATACTGTGTACAGGTACATGGAACTAGATACATGTAGACACTATGGACACAGATGCATGTAAACTAGACATATGTAACCAACTCTCTCTCCATTGAAAGTAATTACTTGTCATGTTACCCAGTGGTTACCTGAATGATGTAGACCATGAATAGAATTATTTTAATTCCATGTTATAATATAAAAATGAGAGACAAAGTGATTGTCTAATGAAATAGTACATAAATAAATATAATATAAAACTCCACTCACAGATTATGACCATTTAGAACCTGGAGAAAGACAGAAACACAAACTTGTTACCTATCCTAAATAGCATTCATTAAATAATGCATGTATATATGTCTAGAAGAGTTAAATATTTGATTAGTTGCAGGTTTAAATTCTGAATAGTCTTCTTAATGTATAAAAATAATTCTATCTGTTTATAATGGTATTTGTGTAATGTTCTCTGTTTGTGTATGGGAAGACTGAATCCCTACACAAAAGTCTCCTAGTCTTCAGGGATCAACATCCTCTCCCCCAGTGCTCAAGGATGCTGCTGTCATCGAGGTGATCACATGCACATCTCTGCATGGAAAGTTCCCAGTTTGAAACCATTGTTCCAGCACAGTTGTCACCATCCCTTTATACTCACAGATGGGGCATGTGATCTGTCTGTTCAGCCCTACCACATTTTTTTCCTATCCTCATGTTAGCATGCGCCTCTAATACACACTATTCTTAAATGAAAATTTAGTTTTTCATAGCTGAGAAAAACTTTCACAGGCCGATGATTTTACCTCATGCTGAAAACCAAAGAATATATATATATATATATATATATCCAGTGAAATTTTAAAGACATTGATTATTTTGTTGAATAGAATTTCATTCTTGGGATTCTTTACAAATTCTGAAATTAGAAAATTTTTATTTCTAATAATAGCTAATAATCTTTCACTTTATTAGACTATATATATGACATCTTTATTTTCTTCTTTTGGTGCCAGGAAATTCAGAACTAAGCCAAACACTTGGTTGTGGCAAAGGCTGTTAACTCATATAGAAAAGAGAGTCTGACAGAAATGACTTTAAGTTCTTAGCTTTTCATGGCTACTGTAACAAATTAACATAAACTTTGTGACTAAAACAATGTACACCTACTGTCTTCCATTGCCAGAGGCAGAAGTCTGAATTGGGTTTGAAAGGGCAAACGTTAATTTTGTTGGAAGACCACACTTCTTCCAGACTCTAAAGGAGAATCCATTCCTCATTATTTTCAGATTCTAGAAGCTGGTACTGTCAGTATTCCTGAATTTGAGGGCTGCATCTCTTCAGCCCCTACTTTAGGAATTGTACTGCCTTCTCTTTCTCTGTGCCAAATTGTCCTTTCTTTCCTTATAAGGATGTTTGACTACATTTAGAGCTCATCTGGATAATTCACAATAACCTATCTTGAGATCCTTAACCTAATCACATATGTCACGTCTCTTTTTACATAAAGTAACATTCACAGGTTCCAGAGATTAAAACCCAGAAAATTTAGAAGCCAATCTTTAGGCTTACCAAAACCTACCATTTGGCTTTCAGTGATTCATGTGCATTCTCCATGTAAAATATATTCATCACATTACAATGACCCCTGAAAATCACACCCTATTTCAAAATCAACTCAAAAATCCAAAATTTCAGCTAAATATCACCAATTTAAAGCTCCCAAATCTTGTTATTATAGTCAAATATGGAGAGATTCTGTAAATGAGCTATGCTTTGGAAAAACTTGTTTCTGTCTTTAAAGCATTAGCTCCACTACCCTGTTAATAGTAGTTACACACAAAAAGTTAGTCACAATCAGGATTATTCCCTTCATCCTCTCATTCACTGTATCCCATATTCTCTTTACCATGCCATGATTCCATTGATCTAAAGTTTTGAATACAAACCATTCAAAACCTCCTTAAAATAATATGGAAAAACTAATGATAAATAAAATTTAAATTACTCTTTAAAAATAAATTTAAAAAGGACTGTCGGAATTGGGGTTCAATTCAGGTTAAATATGCTTTGGCATGAATACTGTACACATATTGGGAGATCTCATACTAGAATTTGCTTAAAAAATAAAATGTAAGGCTCACTCCAAAAAAAGGTATGATATTTTGGGAAAACAATTAAATACTAAAATTTATGATAGATCCTTATTTTTTGGCAATTGAAAGTTTCTGAAATACATTTTCTTAAAGCCATTAGGCCCTTGATGTGTATCTTATTCATGTTATGATTTATTATTGATGTATTGAATCAATTCCTCAGCAAGTAAAGCTTGGAAATGTGAGTGATTTGATAAACTCCTGGAATTTATTCTTTGGAGACAGGTTTGACTCCAATTTCTAGCTGTTAGTTTTAGATCTCATTCCTGTGCTTTTTCCTCCAACTCAGTAACTATTATCACAGCTCTAGCAGAAGAATGATAGTACAGTCAATGTTAAAGTAGGGTAAGTTTTCTCAAGGAAAAAATATTAACAATTGTGAACCACAACTGAATTCAGCATAAGTTAGTGCCTCTGAGGGCAGTTTTCAAGCTATTTTGAACTCTGGTGAGTCTTTGATAGGTACATTTATATAAACTATATTTTAAAAGCTTGCAAAGCTCTCGCTGTTGTAAATGCCATAGGCACTTGCTAGGAAATACTAACAGAGAAACAGAAGGAAAACCAAAATGAATGGATTCCCATTTAATCTCTCCATATTGCAGCATATTGCATAATCACTATAGATGTTAGCCAAGATATAGTGGTATCTTTATCTTTTGCTGTATATCCACAGAGGGCTGAAGTCTTGTTTTCAAAGGCGAATTTTTAAAATGTATTTATTTTCTCAGTGAATTTGTGAGTCTGAAGAACTCCTAAATCCACTTTAAAATGCTATCTCCTGCAGGAAGGAGGCAGTACATTCAGAAAAGTGAGGTTCTTTCCAGTATACCAAGGTTTTACTTACAGATGTACTGTGTGAAACCAGTTTAAAAAAGGAAACTCACTCCTTAAACTGATAGAGATCTGGGATAAATATCAAATATCAAAATGACATGCCGTTTTGATTAAAAAAATGTTGTTTCAGACTAGGCTTTAAGAGATTCTAACTGAAGAAGGGGAAGTGGGATTGACTTTCCCAAACCTTGTAAACAAAGACCAACACAGAGCTGGTTTGACATTTGAAATGTAACACTTGTCTCTCCATATTCAAAAGTGACCAGTAAGAGAGATGTGTAAACCAGCAAATGTTGAATGGAAAGTTTTCTGGGGAGTATCTGGGATCTAGGACCTGTCCTGCTTACTGAATGAAAAGATGACTATAAATACCTAAGGAAGGAGAAGTCTGAATAGAAAATCTGAAAAGTTAGTAGAAAATATTCTGTAGACTGAGCATACTTCTTTGATTCTGGGACCATTCCATTCCACCTGAAACACAGTGTTCAGTATTGTCTATTCCTAAAAATCTAATAGTCACTCATTCTGCAATTTTATTTGCCTGAAAATAACTGTACCTTCATTCTTTCTTTTAAAGGAAATGGAGAAGCCAAGATATAGCTCAGTAGCATAAACACCTGCCTGGCAGGTGCAGTGTACTGAGTTCAATTTCTGGTACAAAATAAAAGTAAATGGAGAAATCAAAATATATCATGGATAGTTACAAATTCTTTATTGTGATATGATCATATGTAATCAAACATATACAATATGGGAGAAAATGATATGAACACTTTCATCCCTAGCAAGAGTCTGTTGCCAAAGACTTCTAATGTGATTTCCCTTTTTAACTTTTTTGTGAGGCAGTTTTTAAAAAATGTTTTAAAAAACATATGAGAAGTAGCAAATAGTGGTGAATACTGTCATGACAGTAAAGGAAGGTAATCTTCAGGACATTACCCTGTATATGTGGTGTACATGTGGGTTGAGCTTTGGAAGTGTTTGGCCGTGGGGGAGGCTAAATAATGTGATTTTGAGCCAAGGCCTGCATCATGATAAGAAATTAACTGTGCAAGTAAGAATAAGATTAGCACATTTAAACAACAAAGGAAGGGAACTTAGTTATTGTTGCATAACAAATTACCACAAACTTACTCACTTAACACAACATGCATTTATTTTCTCCCATGTTGTGTGGGTCAAGATTTTATCTCACTTTAAGATCTGTGCTTAAAATCAAGCTTGAGTTATCACTTCTGGGCAGTATTCTTATCTGAGCTTGAGGTTCTATTTCAATTTCAATGGTTGGCAGGACTCAGATTTTTCTACTTATAGGACTATTTTTATTTTATTTTATTTTATTTATTTATTTATTTATTTTTTTTTGCTGAATATTCACACAGTTGCTTTTACTTCCTAGGGACTGCCTTCAGGCCCTACTCATATGACACTCACAATATGATGGCTTGCCTCTTCAAGGACAGGAAGAGACTGTCCAGTCAATTAAGACAGCCTTATGTAATGTAATCATAGACTGAGTATTCACCATACTTGCTGTGAAAAATAACTAATCAATAATGACTGCATCATCATATTTATGGGTTATACTCACACTCAAGAGGTATTATATAGAACACATGCACACCACAGCACAATTCTTGTCTTGGTGAGCACCTTAGAATTCTGACTGACACAGGCAGTGCAACATCTCTTTTGTAGGTGAGGTACCAAGTTAGAGACTGTGTTAGTTACCTTTATTGTTGCTGAGACAAAATACTTGACATCCAAAGTTAAAGGAGAAAAGGTTTATTTATCTCACCGTTTGTAGAGGTTTTGAATTCACAATAGGCTGTCTCCAAGGCAGGTTGGCATCAAGAGGATAAAAAATAGTTCATAGTGGGAAGAAGATAGCAAAACAACAAGCTCTTTCTATCCCTTATAGCTCATCCAGTCTACTTAGGGCACTAGCATTCACACCCACCCTTAATCCTAGTGCCCTTGATCCTAGCGTTGCACTGTGAATCAATTTTAGTGTAACATACTTTAGATCCAACCATTTATGAAAAA